TAAACAAAGTTTAACGGGTTCAACCAATTTACCTTTCTTGGGTCTCAGAACAAAACCGAAAGGGAGACTCGGGTCTGAAAAGGGTTGTCTCTGTTGCTCGGGCCACTAAACAAAAGCCGACGGGGAGTGTTTCGACTGTACGGGCCTGAACGAAGACCGACGGGGTGTACGGCGACTGCTGTGGCAAACAGTTACGGGATTTCACGGCGAGCGAGGTGAAGGGACTTCTCGATGGAGCAGCGATAACCGAGAACAGGTGTTGGTCGTGCGAGAATGATCCCTGGCCGCGTTCGGGACTGTCGGGGGTTGCTCGACGGTGGCAATAACCTAACCTGCTGCTCGCTCGCGCCTGGGAGGAGTCGAAGTTTTCAGCTGTAACCAAAGGACGGGGCTGTGATGAAATTTCTCGGCGATGCTCGATTTGGCCTTGGATGGTGGTCGGGTGTTGCGAATTCAGGCCTCACGATGGCTCAGCAGCAGTTGGTCGGGACTCGTCGGAGGTTCGATCGCGACTGGGCGTTCGGGAAAAAGGTCGGCCGCTTCTGCTCAAGGTTCGATTTTGTTGTAGTGCTCGATAAATCGTCGAAAATAGTGGTGGATGGCGGTGACGGGGCTTGCATCAGAATCCTTGCGGACGGCTTGCGATGCGACGGAGGACACGGTAAAACCGACAAGTTCAGGTGTTGCAATTTGCGCCGACGAGGAGAGTTGATTGAAGGATAAAGTCGGGTGGAAGATGATGAGAGAGGAGGGATTTCGATGGCTGCGCGATTTTGGGCGAGATTTTGGTCGAGAGAATGAGGGTTCTCCCTCTGCCAACGCCACTCAAGGGAGAAGAAGTAATGGGCGGTTTTACAACATTTGGGCCTAGCTTTAGCAAATTGGGCCGACAAGTCTTCAAAATAACAGTTGGGCCGAGAATAAAAGTGCTTACTCAATGCTGGAAATACTTGCTAAGAGGGCCGATTAAAACTAAGGTTTATGGCCGGATATAAAATACTAACGGGTTAAAAATAAAATCTCAAGGTTCGAGGTTCGGGTTGAAACGACTCGGAAACGAGTTAACACGGATAAAGGTTCGATCGCACGGTAATTAAATTAAAATCAAATATATATATATACATATATATATATATATATATATATAAAGCACATAATCAATAATTATATAATAGCATTTAGACAATTAATATTAATAATAATAATGATACTAATAATAACAATTAATAGCAAATAAGCATTTAGGCATTTAGTAATAATATTAATAATAATGATAATAAATATAGCAACAATCAATTAGGCAATTAAATAACAATAATAACAATATCGATAATAAATAATAACCTCAAATAATCCTTATAAACAATATTCGACAAATAGAATATTGCGAGAAATTCTACAAATCGAACGGGGCGTTACACACCTGACAATATTATCATGGATTTTCTTCTCCATTACTTCTAATATTCTCGCATTTGGGGCCGACAAGTGGGTGTACTGAGTCGGCTTCCACCCCCTCGACTGTCCCTCTCTATCCATTCTCAGGGGTTCCTTTTTTTCTAACGTCAAACTTGGCTTTTTATCCTTCTTCTCCTCTCGGGGTTCGGTTTTTGCCCTTGCCGCTTGCAAGAAGTCGGCTTCTGCTTCTTTCACATTCATATACTTGGCACACCTTCCCAGAACCTCATCAAAAGTCCTCCCAGGCCGCTTTGCCAAAGAATTTATGCGCAGTCCTGGGAGTAATCCCCTAGTGAGCCCTCCCGATTTAATTTCCTCAGTGGCTGAAAGCACATCGACACATGCTCGCGTGTATCTGGCCACATAATCTTGCAACGACTCTCCCTCCTTCTGTTACATGCCTATCAGAGTGAGATAAGATTTTTCCTAGTCCTTCACACTTGCAAATTGGTTCAGAAAACTCGAGCTGAACCCGTCAAAATCCTTGACGGCTCCCGAGGGTAACTAATGGAACCAATCTAGCGCGGGCCCCTGTAGGGTCGTCAAGAACGCCCGACATTGAACGGGGTCATTATATCGATGCAGCACCGCCATGTTTTTAAAACTCCTTAAATGTCGAGAGGGATTGGTCGACACGTCATACCAGATGTTAAGCTCCTTGAACCCCTGAGGTAAGTCGACATCTAGTATGTGTTGTGAAAAGGGATGTCCTCTTGAGCTCCCCATTTTCTTCCCCTCGACTCGAGCCTGCAGATCTCGCACCTGAGCTAGCAATTGTTCCAGGGTGTCATTCCTAGATTGTGGATTAATAGTTCTGACAGAGGAATCTTCTTCGTCTGCCCTCAAGTTCTATCATTCACGTGACTGCGCTTTCTGTTCATGCTCAGAGGGTGGCTTATTTTGAGGTTGCTCGATTCTTGCCTGCTCGACTCTGGGCTGTTCGACTTGTGTCTGCTTCATTTGGGCTGTCACTACCTCTGCAATCATTCTTTGCATCTCGCTCCTTGTCATGGTCAGCATTTGCTCCTCGACTCGGGGTGGTGGCCTTGCTCCCTGGTCGAGTGATCTGGGTTGTCTTCCCAAACTTAGAGATGTCTCGGCTGACTCGTGACCATCAGCTCCTCCACTCGAGTCCTTCGCATGGCTGGTCCCTCCCTGAGTAAGCACCGGGATCTTGACCTCTGGTGGGGTAACGGGTGTCTCCTCCCCCACACGTGCTCCTGCCAATACGTGTGTTCCGAACGGTGGGAATCCAAGCACTTGGAGCGGTGGTCTGGGGCCGGGAACCGGCGGAGGCCGCTTGTCAGTCCATGTTATCCTGAAATCCTCATTCAAGTTCTTCTGTAACCCTTCCTTCTCAGCCATTAGAGACAGATCGAAGCTAGGAGTAAAGCTCTTAATTCCTTCAAGAACTACCCACAGACGGCGCCAAAATGATTGGTCTCCTCTTAGATCTGAAGTAAACTGGTGGAAGTGAACCTAGAACTGGAATGAACCGATGGGAATGAGATTAGATCTTCCGTAACCGTTGCTGAACCGCAATAATACCTGCAAGAACTCAACGCTGGAGGGGTTTCCGGCGTAGAGCCTCCGACGCTCAAGTCAGTATGTGAGGAAGATGAGAAGAGCTGCCCTCAGAGAGCAGCAGCAGTAATGGAGGAATATAAAATGAATGGAAGTTAGCGGTTTAGGGTTACCTCAGCTCCTTTATATAGAAGTAAAATCTTTACCTGGAGTCCCTAAAATGCCCCGGCCGACTTATGGGATATGTCTAGAATACCTTGGTCGGTTTGTATCCCATCCACCTCCTAGTCAGCATTTAGAATCCTCCGTATCCTTAATAGCTTCCTTCTGGTCCTTGATAACTTCCTCGTGATATGTTGTGAAGTATATCAGAGTCGTCAAGGATTTACGAGCCCCGAGACTTTTTTAGTCGACTCGGAATATTGACTCGAGTTGACTATGTCATCTTCATTCGTCGGTAGGCCTTAACGGACTCATCCATTTTTCCGTAAGCAGTCGACTTATGCCAGTCGACTGATAGAGACATTTGGGCCCTTGACCAGAAGTATACTAGAGTCTGTGGCAGGAGTCGACTTTGCCGAAGTCGACTTGGTAATATCCGAACAGTTAACAGTATGAACCGCCATACGAGTATGGCTATATCAGAGTCGACCCTGAGTAAGTCGACACAATAATACCTAAGCGGTCATAGAATGAACCGTCATATGATAGTATGGCTATATTGGTGGAAGTGAACCGGTGATAGACAGAGGTAGTGAGGTTCGAATAAAATTCAGCAACAAGTTGAGGACAATATTTACCCACAGACATCACAGAACCTTCAAGACCAACCTTTTTCAGTAGTTCAAGTAAGCCAAGTTGTTCAAAGTGATCACTAACTATTGTCCTCTCAAGATGAAATTTCATTTGAGAAAATATACCGAAAAAACGAGTTTCAGACATAGGAGTGTAATATTGGTGGGAGAAAGCGTTACCAATATCAAGTGGAGTTTCTGAACCGTCACCTTCAACATCATTGATGGTTTTCTGTTCAACAGTAGGGTAACTTTCCTTGGTAGTCGCAACCTGGTTGTCGGATTTTCAGGTTCACCATCATAACCATCAATTTCTTTTTCAGCAGAATCACCAACAGAATCTGGGGACGATTCTCTTCCAGATTTCGTGACAGAAGGAGTGCCAGTAATAGGTTCAAAAACAGAAATGACCTTCTTCGCCTTTTTGGGTTTAGCTCAGAGGGTGCTGGGATCTTCTTGCGCTTCTTCGGAGATTTGATGGCGGGGGAAGAACCATTTCCTCCTTTCTCACTGGTATTGCCACCATTAGGCTGAGAGCCCTTCGTTGTAGAGGATTTTTTAGGGCTTGGTGAAACCTTAGGCGTGACTGGATCAGATGATTAAGGATTTTCGGTTGCCATGCTTGAAGGAGTCGGATTTGGTGGAGTTTCTGTGATCTGGCTTTGACGAGTTGAGCGCTGAAATGGTTGAGGAATATTTTTCTTGGGCTTCATGGTTCCCTGCTTGGATTTCGGCATGATAACAAACACGATTTCTCACAAGTATGGAATGTTAGAAGATTTTGGAGAAAGAAGATAATCCAATGATTTGAGGAGATAGACACAAAAGGTGGAAAGGAGATATAGGGAACCAAGATTGCGGTTATCGAGATATGTGATATGACGGTTCAGCTCAAAATTTAAATTTCAAATAAATAAGAACCGCTCAACACTTAATGCACAAGAAACCGTTCCCTCCAAACAGATTACTTACCAAATTTAATTAACACAACTACAATATATAACGATTGAAGTTTCAGACGAAAATATCATCCAAATCATGTACCAAAAATAATTTAGGCTCATGATCGAAATAATATATACCACGGAAAAAATCTGGATGCACATGCCTAAATAAGATATTTAACACGCAATATTGAAAAAATCCATTAATTGATTAACCCACTAATCTTTCCAAATCAATTTGAAACAAGCTCGACACTATCAAGATGGTGAGAAAATAAATTCTCTTCATGCACAACTTAGCCCTTATTGCTCCAACTTTTATACAACACGGAATTAATATAATTTCGTTCATCACTTTCTCTTAGCAAAAAATGAAATTTTCGTTCACAATTCAGCCCCAATACTAATGATGAACTTACTTCGTTCTATGAACTTCCACACCAATTCACTTACTAACATTAACTATACACCAATGTCAAGCCCATTACGTGAGGTGTGAATCATCCCGCAAAAAGTTTTAATTTTGAACAAGCTGAGAAGATATCATAATGGCCAACCTTATTTCACTAGAGAACGTTCATTCTTAGAATGTTTACCTGTAGCTATCACACCTCGATTATTGTTACGCACGTAACTCGTTTCACAGGTGATAAGGGAAACACCTCATGTGATAGTTTCCCGATGCCTATTTTCACGAGAGCAACTCTTACAAGTATATTAAAATGACCATCATGACGAGCTCTTACAAACTGACCAGTTAGAATTCACAGACCACCAATCAACAAACTCAACAATAATCGATCAGAGAAATATTCCACGGATGAACTTACATACTAAAATGCCTAAAATGCAGAACAGATCCTATATGCAATAAACCCGATATATATATATATATATATATATATAAATGCAACTGACACAATGCACATATATTATATAGCACACATTCCTAAAGATTTTTTCAGGGACAAAAATCGTTTTGAATCAAGAGCTTTTGTAAAAATATCAGCAAGATGATCATCTGTAGGTACATGATCCAACACAAAAATCCCATCTTCTACCAAATTACGAATAAAATGATAACGAATGTCAATATGATTGGTACGTGAGTGTTGGACCGTCTAATTGCTTCAATCCGTACAACACTTTCTTAAGTTTGTACTCTGTAGACATAATTCGGATTCTTTGGATCTTTGAATCCTTCGGGATGCTTAACGTACGCCTCTTCATGTAATATCTTGTTCAGAAAGGCAAACTTCACGTCCATCTGGTAAACAATGAACTTCATTAGACAAGCAATAGATAGAAATATGCGTACATATTCAAGTCTAGCAACGGGGGCAAAGGTTTCATCGAAATCAATACCTTGAGTCTGAGGGTAGCCTTGAGCAACTAGTCTCGCCTTGTTGCATGTCACATTGCCGAACTCATCACTTTTGTTCTTGAAGAACCACTTTGTTCCAATAACATTTCCCGATGATGGTTCAGGGACTAACTCCCAAACATCATTTCTAGTGAATTGCACCAGTTCCTCCTGCATTGCTAAGATCCAACACTCATCTTTCAGAGCTTATTTAATATTCTTGGGTTCAATCAATGAGATGTAGCAGGCATAATGAGAAACACCCATAAGTTCTTTGACTGACATCTTCGAGTTTCTGGTTACTCTCTCGTTGATGTAACCAATGACTTGTTCGGATGGATGATCTTTATGAACCCTTAAGGGACGATCACGCTTAGGTGGCACTGAACCTTCTTGAGCAGAGACAATGTAGTCAGTTGACGTTTCAATATCCACAACCGAAGGTTCAGCCGTCTCCTTGTCAACAGAGCTCTTAACATCATGAGAATCCTACATTGTCTCAACATTTCCAAACTGATTAAAAAACCCAGATGAACCAACTTGGGAATTTTTTTCATCAAAGATTACATTCATGGACTCAATTACAGTGGAGGTAATTGTGTTGTAAACACGGTCACTCAACTATTGTTAGAGTAACTAAGAATGAATCCAATATCTAATTTTGCATTGAACTTCCCAAGTTGTACACGATCATTATAGATAATACATTTACACCCAAAAATATGCAAGTGGCTGAGGTTAGGACTCTTACCTTTCCAGAGTTCATACGAAGTCAGACCAATACATCGACGAAGGTACACTCGATTCACGAGGTAGCATGCTGTATTGACTGCCTCAGCCCACCATCTAAAACAAAGTTTTTTGGAGTTTACCATGACTCTGGCCATTTCTTGTAGAGTACGATTCTTCCTTTCAACAACTCCATTTTGCTGTGGAGTTTTAGGAGTTCAGAACTCGTGACAAATACCTAGAGAATCACAAAATTCCGCAAACTCAGAATTTTCAAATTCTCTTCCATGGTCACTTTGAATACTTATTATGGAAAAGCCTTTCTCAGTTTGAATCTTTAAACAAGGTGATTTAAAGACAGAGAATGTGTCAGACTATTCACGCAAGAAATCAACCCAAGTATATCGAGAGAAATCATCAACGCACACATAAATATATTTTTTACCTTAATAGCTCTCTACCTGAATGGGACCCATAAGAGCCATGTGAAGAAGTTCTAGGATATGTTTAGAGACAATGTGGTTCAGTGACTTGTGGTATGCCCGAGTTCGCTTACCTAGTTAACAAGGTTTGCAAATTGGCTGGTCCTTTATGGCAATCTTTGGAACACCCCTGACTACACCTGCATTGGTCAATTTAACAAGATGAGAGTATCCAATATGATCCAAGCGTTGATGCCAGATTTCAGGTTCACTCACATTAGAGAACGGGCATTTTTCATTAGAATCAACAAGATAACAGTTATCAGTTGAACGAGAACCTGTAAGTACACAAGAACCATCACTAATTTTCACATAGCACTTATCACATGAGAAACTGACACTAAGGCCTTGGTCACATAGTTGGCTTACACTCAAGAGATTTGCCTTTAACTCATCAACAAGTAACACATCAGTTAATTTAGGTAACCCACCCAAATTTGAACAACCTATTCCAATGACCTTATTGCCTACACCGTCACCAA